CTGTTTGCTGGACCTAGACCAAGTGACTTTGTGAGTTTGAACGACCCCCAAGCAGTAGCCAAGGAGGATAAATCACTCTGATAGTTGTGTACATCTGGATTCCCAAATTTCATGTCTAGACATCAACTGTGGCAGTGTGCTTAAAGTGACTACAGATTGCTGATTTGATAAAAGATGGCATCCAAATGTGGTGTAATGAATCATACTGTCAGATTGGACCCTACGGGAGATGCCAGATGCTCTGTAACCGTGCTGTAACCATGCTGTAACCAAGCTGTAACTGCTGCAGGTGCTTGGTCACATAATGGATGACTTTCAATGCAGGGGATGTGGCACATGTCTGACCCTCATTGGAAGAGTGAGTGACTGAATGTTGCACAGTCAGAAATAATACAAATATATCACACCAGTCTGCACTAGACAAACCAGTGGTTGATGTCATGAGCAGCAAGCCACGCCATCAGCAGATCATGACCACCTGATTCTCAACAAACAGAGAGGCTACTTTACAAGGTTACCAAGAACAAAGACACCATCATCCAATGTTTGCCACTGTCATAACTGTTTGATCAGCTTGTATAAACCAACAAACCACACTAGCACAGAACTTGGTCAGAGGCACTTAATCTACATTGTTTATAAAACCTGACATGAAAATATACTCCAATATTTTCAGAAAAAATGCATCCCTTTATTAACGCAAACAAGGGTCACTCACATTTTTTACATTAATTTCATGATTTACAGTATTTATAGCTATGGTTGCAAAGGTAAAGCATGGTTTTGTTTCCTTTTCTGTCACAAAAATAATTAGCCAGGCATTATTCAAAAAGTTAAGGTGACCTGAGAAAAATATGAAACTTAATGACAGTGCATTGAAAACTAAGATCATAAATTAGATCATTTTCAATTACCCCTGAGAGCACTCCCCCTGGCTGACGCCAGACTCAACAAAGCAGTCACACACAATGGAACAAAGAACATGATGCACAAGCTTGGCTGATTTGCTCCTTGTGAACAACAGACATGTTTGCACAGATTAATTTGGAATTTGTATTCTGATGATTTTGGCTTCAATTTATTCGGGAAATCATCAGAAGTCAGAGACAGTGTCTAGACTTGGAAATAGTCTATTATTTCCTTCATCAGCGGATTAATTACCTTCAAATTTTTTGTGCAAAAGTTTGGACGTCTGTCATGTATCAAATGCTTCAGCTTTGTTGTCCTGTTTTCGTTTTCTGGTAATGTGAGTGTGATTGTTACCTTGTTCCTGGGGTTTTATCTGTCCCAAGATCAATTTTAAACACATAACTTGAGCACATCATAAAATATACAGATGTTTTGAAAATTAAACATACAGTTGTTATATGAGGATCAAAAGGGATTTGTTTTCTCAGAAAATGCTGAAAAGAAATATGTATCGTTCTTGAATCCTTTAATATTATTGTTTATCTCTGTTCACCGTAGAGCCTGACAATTAATCAGTGCACAATGTACAATGTACCCACTGATAATAATGTTGATAAGATGCGAATACACTTGCTCAACACTTGCAATGGAGTGGACAGAGAACTGTCAGGTGACTGATATCAGCAAATGCCACGCCCCCTTTCAGGCGGTGCGGCTGCATAAAGGTAGATGCTGAACTTGTTTAAAGCAATTGCATCCTCTCTGTTTGTAATTATAGATGTAAATTCTTTTGAGATGTAATTTTAGAAATGTATTTTGACCTGAACTGTGAAAAGGGGGATATTTCAGACTGAATAAATGAAAGTATTTGAACAAAGTTTAAGGCAGGGCTAAAAACTACAGCCAGGATGGTATGAAAGCTTTTCAAGCACTTCCAAATCCTTTAACAAATAGATGATAAAAATGACAAACGACAAACAATTTGGTGTGTGATTGGGGACATAGCTGCTAAGCATGGGCACAAAGGTTTTTCATTAAAGTCAGTGATGACTTTCAAACAGAGTTTTCAGATGTCATCCATCCAAGGTTTGGGACTTGTATTTGTGGTGATGTGATAGTCAAGGCAGAGGTGGAAGGGGTTTGACAAGGCCTGCTTGGCTACAAGCTGATGTGTGGTGCTGGATTTGGGAAGAGATGATACTTAGTGTCCATGGAATGTCTGTGTGACATGGAGGCCCTGCTCTTGATTCAATGCCGGACTATGTGCAGTGAGTGTAGGGGTTGCTTGAATTGTTACGAGATTAGTCCAAGGAATAGTTTGCTATGCCCATGATGGTGTTCTGAAAGATTTCAGCACAGGTTTTTACATTTCTCACACTCTATTTAAGACTTATCGATTTGATCACCACTGTCGTTGTCTTTTTGACTGTTCAGCTTGATATCAACAAGGTGAATTTTATTCCATATATTTTGGGCTTGTGAGCATGTAAGTTGGCTGAATACTGTGTACAGGTGAACTTTGTTCCAGTGGCCTCGTAGTAGCCCTCATCATGACTATCATTATTGAATACACAAACATCTTATGAGGTGTCAAACATTATTTTTTTTAATTTCTCAAGTAAAGCATTAAATTGATTATAATTTATGAAGACATAATTCACAAATCCTATTATTTGGGAATAAAGAATGTATAATGTATAATTATTCAACTAAAAATCTGTGTTATTAATTATTATCTCTTGATATGATAATGTCCTTGTGAGAAATGACTGCACATTCCTAACTCCACTGAGAGGGTTATTCAGTGTGTTATTACTACTTAAGGCCATGTTCAGGATGGGTGCACAATCATGTTTACCCCCAGAGCACAGTGACTCAATAAGGAGCAAAGGGGGGTAACTCTAACCAGCCTAGCGACACAAATTCCTGACATGCAGGAGACTATTGCAGAGTGCAGAGCTATAAACTGGACTCAGATATTTTCAAAATAACTACCCCATTCACTTGTGAAATTTGAGAGTCCACAGAAGCTTAGCTTGATTTCACTTCTCACTCAGGAAATATTTCAGCATTTGTGTTTGAACAAAAGCCCAAGCTGCATTGTTTTGCTTCAGTGGTCATGCATTGACAATACATGCAGTCATGTGTGGTTTGTTAGGGGCATGGCTGTCAGAGGTATAACTCATTGTGTATCCCTGTAATATGAATGTGGCTTGGACGGGCCATCTTGTGATGTAATACGATGTGGAGAACTTAGGCTTTTCTTCAGTAAGAGGATAAATCATCCGCATGGTGTGTTGATTCACAGCTTATCTTTTTCTGTAACTATTAAGTGAGTTCAGCTGCTATTTATAAAAAGACATGCCTTGGTAAAAGTCTTTGAGAGTTTTTGAGAGGATAGATGTTGTGTTTTGCTGTGTATGAACAGATGGCGTAACAAAGAATTGAAGTGGTTGTCGTCCAGGTAGTCACAAGCACTTTTCTATTTCTTTCATGTCTTTTTCTGATCTGGAATCTTTCCAACATTTGAAATTCAAACAGGCTTGTTTATTTGAAGTATGTTTACATTCATGGTATTTCATAACAATATTTGTATTTGTTTTTGTTTGGCTGTCTCGTTGGGGACATCTTGATATCACTGTCGTGTCTAAACAATGATCATAAGTTTGTTTGTATTTATCTTAAATTTGTTGTATTCAAATAATGCAGGGTTTGATTTCTTAGTACTCATTCAAGTAGTCAACCGACGTGGACAGAATACATGGTCCTCAAGCATTGTTGAGGTTAATGCTAGCTTACTTGATGCTACTTGACAGTGCTACTTGTCATTGGGTTGTAGATTCTGTGTCCTTCCCCGCAGTGTTTGCATAGGGTTATAGAGTAAACGAGTAGTGTCAGCTCATGCCTTGGTATGCCCACAGCCTTTCCCCCAGGTGAGAGTTGATATGTACGTGTCTGTTGACAAGTGGTTTGGTTACATCACTCATGACACACGGGTGATATAGATCTTTAACTACGTGATATAGACAACCAGGGAATATAGATAGTGACTGGGTTGAACAAGCGGATGATTTAGATCTGTAACTCACTGATGTAGACAATCAGGTGATATAGATAGATGGACAGTTTGAGATATAGAAAGCAGGGTATATTGACGACTTTGACGTGAGTTTTACTGACAATTGGTAAAAACTTGTTGCAGGGAGTACCTAACACAATGAGGGGGGAAATGAAATGTTCAATGAAATTATTGTTGAATTCAACTGGACAAAATCCTTCTTCAAACTTAAAATGTAAATGAAGTTATTTTTTAGATTTAATTCACAGATTTGACTTCTGACCAGTTTTAGTCTTATGTCAAATATATTGACTGGAAATCTGAAATATAGAATGTTTTTTGTGTGTTTAATTATTGACTTGACTAGAAATATCTAAAGGATACAAGTCTGAATAGCTTTACATTAATTTTAATGGTTAATTATTTGAGAAAGATTAAACAAAATCACTTTGTTAGTTTGTAGTTCAGGTTTAGATTCTACATCTAGCAGTCCGTGAAGATATCTGATTAATGAGGAAGTTCAGCATTAACCCCTTAGATGTTAATCTTCTCAGTGTGTGTTTGAACTGACAGTTGATTTCAAGTTGTCATTCCAGTTTGTTTCATGTACGTTTTGGATTTGTTGTATATCCTCTTGTGTATAGACCGGGAAGTGTGTCAGACAGACGTAGCTTGTACTTACTGCTGTGGGAGCTTTCTTTCACACACAAATTCTGTATTCAAAGTGACTTGCAATTCCGTTCTACTATTTCTACTGTTGCTATGTAGGTCACATTTCTCAGTTCTCATATTGATTGACACATGCTGTATATACACATAGTTGTAGATTGCATGTACATTTCAGTTTAGGAAATATTATAGAAGATTAATGGCTAGTCAGTTTACATACAGACCCTGAGTCTTACATCATAAATTCTCAGAGTAAATACTGATGCTAGCTGGCTCTTGGTAGATTCTGTGGTGCTAGTGGTATAGGTACAGACTGCAGGTGGATGGTTCAGGGTGGGTGAATTTGTCCTGTAACTGTCTACAATGGCCATTCTATTTCAGGGGACTCGGAACAGCAGGGAAATATGTGAAGTGTTTAAATGAAGAGGAAATATTGATGTGAGATACATAAATACTTATTGGAGTTGTACTCAGGATACGTTGTGAAGGGAATCTTGTGCATGGCATGGAGATACACTTCTGTTATTGGTGATGTATGAGACTCTACCTGTCCATTCCTGAAAGTGTCAACTGTTTAGTGCAGTGCAAGAAGAGGTAGTGAAAAGTGCTTCCTACCTGTTGTGTCGCTGTGAAGAGCTGCAGCTTGCTGCTCCATTGTGGTATCCTCTGACGGACAGCTGCCAATCAGAAATAGACTCGTACAAACAAACCGGCTGGGGAAATACAAGATATTAGTATTCATCTGTCTGTGTATGTCACAGTGACTTGACAGATGGGATAGCTCCAGTAGCTGAAGCCTTGTCAGATATGTGTAACACCAACCTGCACATCAACAGACCACTTACAGAAATTGTTCTACTTGTGTTGCCTACTGGGTACCATCTGTTATAAGTATAGAACAAGTTGTACACATTGTCATTACCTGACTTTCAATTTCAACTGATCAGCCCATTAACAAGTGGAGCATTATCCTAGCAGTTTGTAAGGAGATGACATAATTGTGATTTAAGGTGACATTCCCTGCAAGGCATGTATGAGCTGGTCAGTCCAGTCCGACCAGGCCCACCAGCTGGTGCAGCTCACTGTGAAACACACACGATAGGATACATACAGCCAGGTGATAGCTAAACACATGACCAGGTATAACATACAGTTATAAAGCAACCTCCTGGTGTGTCTCTCTAAGATTCATAAGATGCCCGCTCTTGATGACAAATCTGAAATGGCAACTACAAGAAGTAAGGTTACGGTGGAGATCGGTGTGGCACGGAGGGTGGAGCGGCAGTGGGAGGAGCACATGAAGCCGGTGGTGCTGATGGGCTGTCACTGCGAGGAGCTCGGGCAGACCATGAGGAATGCCGAGGAACCCATGACGTCCAGCGACAGAGACTCGGAAGAGAAGACCCTGTCACAAGACAGCTTTGGTGAAGACTCTGACGGATATTGTGCACAGAAAGATGGAGTCAGTGATGTTGACCGACAAAGTTGTGACAGTGAAGAGAGTAGTGTGAAAACAGCATTGTTTCCTCAAGAAGATAGTGAAGAGAGTAGTGTGAAAACAGCATTGTTTCCTCAAGAAGATAGTGAAGAGAGTAGTGTGAAAACAGCATTGTTTCCTCAAGAAGACAATGAAGAAAGTAGTGGGAAAACAGCATTGTTTCCTCAAGAAGACAATGAAAGTACAAAAAGGAAACATATTAAAGTTGCAGAGCAAACCCAAAACTTTAATGATGGTGAACATTCTGAATACAAATATATAAAGGTTGTATCCACAGAAGACCTGGATGTTTGTGAGAGACAAATTGTCCCTACAGGGATAGACCCCGGTGCAGGAGGTACAGATTTGGAGGAGGTTTCTAGGAAGAACAGTCATATAAACTCAGGGGATATTACAAAGTCAGAGGATGCTTGGACAGTTGGCACTGTGGCATCAGTTAAAGCACAGGGTGATGATGTAGAGAAGCAGAACGACACTGGTCTAGATTCAACACTTGAGATGTCTCTGGCAAACTACAGTATTAAGACTGAGGTTGGGAAGCAGAATGACACTGGTCTAGATTCAACACTTGAGATGTCTCTGGCAAACTACAGTATTAAGACTGATGATGAGACGGATGTGACAAAGGACTCGGCCATCGTTATGGACAGTCCAAGTGGGCAGGATGTGTCCTGGAGTCTCCTGGACGATGTTCAGGATGATGTCAGTGTCTCCAGTAGGAGTGAGCCAAGTCACGACGACCCTCTGGATGTGGTGGTTGATGTTTCCACCAGTAGAGTAGAAAATGATGAGGTTGCACTCAAGGATGACATGGCTGTAGAGAGTGCCACCAGTGCGGTAGAAGACGATGAGGTTGCACACAAGGATGACATGGCTGTAGAGAGTGCCACCGGTGCAGTAGAAGACGATGAGGTTGCACACAAGGGTGACATGGCTGTAGAGAGTGCCACCGGTGCAGTAGAAGACGATGAGGTTGCACACAAGGATGACATGGCTGTAGAGAGTGCCACCAGTGCAGTAGAAGACGATGAGGTTGCACACAAGGATGACATGGCTGTAGAGAGTGCCACCAGTGCAGTAGAAGACGATGAGGTTGCACACAAGGATGACATGGCTGTAGAGAGTGCCACCAGTGCGATAGAAGACGGTGAGGTTGCACACAAGGATGACATGGCTGTAGAGAGTGCCACCGGTGCAGTAGAAGACGATGAGGTTGCACACAAGGATGACATGGCTGTAGAGAGTGCCACCGGTGCAGTAGAAGACGATGAGGTTGCACACAAGGATGACATGGCTGTAGAGAGTGCCACCAGTGCAGTAGAAGACGATGAGGTTGCACACAAGGATGACATGGATGATAATGAGAATCCAGGGGCAGGGGAAGAATCCATATGTCCTGTGACACAGGTTGAAAAGTCAGACTTACAGGACACTGGGATTGGGGATAGCCTGTCAAACAGTGTAAATATGGAAGCAGCTCATGGACTTGACAGTTTTGTTATCACTGATGTTCAGGGGAGTAGACAGGTAGATTCTAGTCATTTGGAGAGTATGGAGACCATGTTTACATCTGAAAACACATCCAGTGAGTATGAGAGCATGGAAGATGACACAGTCACCAGTATTAAGAAACATCTGAAGAAGTCTGACACTGACATCGGGGTGTGTGGTGTTGGTAGTTCTGGTGTTGAGAAAGAGCAGGGCAAGGACACAGATGAAAGGCTTCTCAGGGAGGCAGGTTTCTCTGTTGAAGTGATGGACCAGAGTACAGCAGAACTGAGTGACGCAGTGGGCATCCATGAAGAAGGTGACCCTTCTCAAACCAGTCATGTAGTAGACAGCGCAGCCTCATGTGTCATGGGACAGACAGCTACATCACTTTCCACTGACATTCCAGAACACTTTACAACTTTCATACCTCACACGGATGCAATACCAGATATTAGCAACTCACTTACTGTAGTAGGCAACTTTTCCAATGCTGCTGCAGATGCATCTACAACATTCACTGAGGAGCATGTTGACACACCGAATGATTCATTGTTGCATTCCGAGTCTGAAACTGAAATTGTGTCCATGGTTACAGAAACATCAGTCAGTCATACAGAACAACAAGATGATGGTGTTGACAAAGATGTCCCCAAGGACAGAGAGGGGTACATTCGGCATGCAGACATGACTTCAGGAGAAGCTGCAGCTGACGCTGATGGGATGAACAGAAAGATTTCAGTGTATGTCTGGGACAGAGCCTGCCAACACACAGAAAGTAGTGGTGTACCTTGCCCTGGTGATGCAGAAGGAGAGGGTGTGACTCTGCTCCATGAAGTATCGGGGGAACCTGTTAAACATGATGATGAACCCTCAGATGATGGAGAAATACCAAAGGCAGAAGGAGAGGGTGTGACTCTGCTCCATGAAGTATCGGGGGAACCTGATAAACATGATGATGAAACCTCAGATGATGGAGAAATACCAAAGGCAGAAGGAGAGGGTGTGACTCTGCTCCATGAAGTATCGGGGGAACCTGATAAACATGATGATGAACCCTCAGATGATGGAGAAATACCAAAGGCAGAAGGAGAGGGTGTGACTCTGCTCCATGAAGTATCAGGGGAACCTGTTAAACATGATGATGAACCCTCAGATGATGGAGAAATATCAAAGGCAGAAGGAGAGGGTGTGACTCTGCTCCATGAAGTATCAGGGGAACCTGATAAACACGATGATGATCCCTCAGATGATGGAGAAATACCAAAGGCAGAAGGAGAGGGTGTGACTCTGCTCCATGAAGTATCGGGGGAACCTGATAAACACAATGATGAACCCTCAGATGATGGAGAAATACCAAAGGCAGAAGGAGAGGGTGTGACTCTGCTCAATGAAGTATCGGGGGAACCTGATAAACATGATGATGGACCCTCAGATGATGGAGAAATACCAAAGGCAGTCACTGGGGAAGGGAAATTGGAATTAGACTCTTTGAAAAGCAATGCAGAAGAGAAAACAATCAATGGTAGTCTTCTGGATGAGGAGGCTAATTCAGAAACGTTCCAAGATGGCTGTGATGTTAGTCTTGATCTGCTCATGTCTGGAACAGAGGCTCCAGTGGCACTGTCCTCCTCAACTCCTGCTAGACAGGGAGGCCATGCAATCTGTGATACTGAACACTTTCATCCAGGCCAACAGACACGTTTCAGGAACAACAAAAAACAACCAGAAGAAACAACATTTGTGGATGTTCATCTGGAAACGTCTGTGCATGACAGAGTGGCCAGTTTTGGCAAGAAGGCTCATGATGACAGTGTGTTGTGTGGATCCCATGAACATCGGTCTCAAACACTCAGATCGAAAAAGGTTTCTCACAGCAGCATGGAGACAAACATTTCGAAATTTTCGTTGTCAGTGCCAAATCTTATGGAGCATGTACAGAACAATACAGGGAATTACCGCGACCCAAGTTTGAATGATCTCAGGAATCGTCGCAAGTCTGTTCAAGCAATAAAAAGCTTGTTTGAGCAACAGTCCACAGAAGAAAACCGCAACACACAAATAAAGAGCCCGAGGAATAAGGTAATTCTATCTCAGTGTTCCAAGCAAGGAATTTCAGAATTGGACTATCAGTTTTTACAATTTGATGACAAAATATGTGTTTATTATTATTTTTCCTGCATAATGTTTTAAATCATAATAGTGTATAGATTTAGGATTTCATTTAGAAACAGGTACAACATTATTAGGTACCATTAATTATCATCATCATCATCATCATTGATAGAAATAGACAGCTATTGTCTCTGTGATGACAGGTTATAAGAAAGCCTGTTGTATGTGCTGCACGACAGTGTGTATATGTGGTTGTATTAATGGCGGAGTGCATGTATTACTCCCAGGTGACCTACAGATCCAGGTCGTTTATTTCACTCTCTCCCTCGAGCCCAAATCCTCCAGAATATACCTCAACGACTTCACTCCGATCGAACCAATCGGATAATGTACACAGTTATCACTCTTCTCGAGTAATCGTGAGTAATGCATCAGAATGTATTATCCATTGCTTTCAATGAGATTTTCCAAGCAGTTATGATAAACCAACTCTGAAGAAACGTTTAGTCGCTTGCTTCAACTGAATAATGTATTTTGTGTCCGCTGATTGGAATAATACATGGATTCATTTTAGGTATTTAGCACAATTGTTTTGAATTTGATGACTGCCGAAGTCGTTTCAGAAACTCATGCAAGGCACTGTAAATCTCAGTTGTCTCCCCTTGACTGTAAGATAAACATTTTACTTGAGTCCTGTTTGGATCTTGAAATTTCTCTTGGAAATGCAGTTGGATAATACTTGATCAGATGCATATTTTATCAAACATTGTATTGTGTACCACACTTCATTTATAGTCACTATTTATATCAATACATGGTATTTATTTCTGTATCGCAGCCTTCTGTCATGGGTGCTGTCCGTTTCACTTCACTTCATTCATCCCTCCGTTAATTTTATTCACACATTTTCAAAAGAACTCTTTGTTTTTGGAATAAATGTTCATGTGTGAATTTTCACTTTTATGATTTCAATGAATACACTTTTTCAGTAAAACATTTTTTCACCTTTTCACAATTACCCATAAGATATTTCTTTTTTTAAATTATTTCCAAATTTATAATAAAAACAAAAATATTATAATATAAACAATATTCACATTATAAATAATCATCTTTTCATACATCAGCCTCGCTATCAACTCATTATATTAGTCCCATCATAATGAATAATTAATGTGTATGTGTGTATATTATATATAATCCCATAGCAAGTATTCGGTGGATGTATACTACTGTATTTCATAATACTTATACCATACCAATATAAACCAAATGTGTTTGTGGGGTTTTTAATGTTAAAAGTGAGATTTGTAATATTATTAATATTAAATATCAACATTTAACTTTCTTATTTGTGAAGGGAACATCCTAGTTGTGGAATAAATCCCTGGTGCACCCTGACTATTGTGACCCTTCCATCAGCTCCATACCCTGGTGGCGGGTTAATGTCAGTGATATGAAGGTGATACTTTCTCTCCACATCCAGCTGGCAAGGAAATAACAAAGTCTGTTTAAATTGGGTTCAAGCTTATAGCCCTCTAAGTTTGTTTTTTTTGTTAGGGAGACAATCACGAATATTTTAGGATCAAAACCTTAGTTTTTAGGAACCAACCTTTTTTCAAAGGAGCAATACTAAGGAGCAAAAATCAATGATAGGACATATATTTCCAGAGGGTTCATGTGAGATAGGACACTTGTCATGGAGGGGCTTCACGTGTGAAGATGGGTATTCAATCGTAATAGACAGGTACTTTAAATAATAATGTAAATATTTCCCTTTGGTACAATATCACTTATGTTCATGCAAATACAACAGGGTTACAAAATACCCCAGCTATCAATGAAACCCCATAGATGTAGTAACTGTAAATATATATACATCATGATATAAAACAGTTTTTTTAATCATGTATTCAACATTGGCCATGCCAACACAACTTGGTAAACGAGATTTGTAATTACTATCTTTTTATATCTTAAACAGAGATTGTCACCAGTTATGTTTACTTCTAGGTAGCCAAGTGGGGAGCAGTAGATAAATGTAGGTCGCCAATCATAGATTTAAGTCGCTTTTGGACACCAAAATGGTCGCTACTTAGAAGGCTGCAGTCAAGCATTTTGTGTTGATAAAAACCCTTATTTTTATATTTATTTTCAAACAAAGAACATTCTCAATATCTATTTTCATAGTGGGTTAGTTTGTGTGTTTTGGTGCCTTTAGCAATATTCTAGCCATGTGATGGAAGGGGCACCAAGAATCATGAAGGACTTCAACCAGGACCTTTAGTATGAAGAGTCAACCCCACTGCCCCTACGTACAGGCTGATGTTGACATTGTATGTCTATAGTGAAATGAAGTGTAAACAAAGTGTTAGACCAAAAAACATGTTCACAAAGAAAAACATCATAATAGGTTTAGAGTTCTGCAGAAACCTGATGTTGTGTATTTTGCAAATAACATGTTATTTCTGCATGTATATTTCTGCCTCAGTCTGTCTGTAATGCTGTCTGCCTTGTTGTCGTGGTAACACTTTCCACTATATGGTGTGTGGGTTTGTCCAGTGTGTTGCTTAGCTGTTTGTTTGTGTTTTATGTTTGTTTTGTTTGTTTTTGTTTGTTTTTAACTTTGACATTTAGATTTGTGATAAAAGCATGAAGAAAATGCTACTTATCTAACATAATGATATGATAAAACAATTTAAATGAAACATTAAGAATAATAAATGTCACGCAGAAAGTTAATTAATGATGCATGTAAATGTTTAATATTTTCATGATTTTAGTTGTAAAAAATCTAGGTGGAGAAGCTTGTTTTAAATGGAATCTCTGAAAGTTTCTAACTATTTGAAGTTTCTCAGCTATGTGAATGTCAGTTTGAGTAACGACGTAAATGACACGGGACCCACTGGTTAGGGCACCCCTCACAACTGATGAAGCGCACATTGCAGTCGTTCATAGCATGCGCTCATTTCTGTCACGTCTGAACTTTAAAACTCACCTGAAGAGTAATTAGAAACTAGAAAAAGTGAATCAAGGTAGACTTACCTGAGACTGATGTTTACCTGGTGCAGGTAAAGCACACGGTGGAAAGACGGCGATAATTGAAGGAAGGGTTGCACTCGAACATAGGCTTAGCACATGCAGTGTGAGAGATTGGTACCCGCCTATACACATTAACAACGGGGCATGTAGAAATTCACTAAGGAAGCCCAAATAGCATCTCCATGTATAGGTACTACCTTGGCAATGAAGCAAGTATGTGTTCCTCATGCTTGTTGATACCAGCATGCTGCCCCTGTATAACACAGCAGTGCCAGGGACAAGGCTGGGGGCAGTTCAGGGCAATGTACATCATGCACGCACCACCCTCATCTGAAACTCCATGCAAATCCTCCAAGGAGTTGAGCCTTTGTGACTTTGTTTACAGATGCATGTTTACCACTTTGGCAGTATATTGAGGCTGAGTGTTTGTGTGGACTGAGAGAGAGGCCGAATGGTACACCCACTCTGTCTTCCCACCATAGGTATATCGGCTGCTGTAAATTGACACCACTCACAACAAGTGGTAGTCTCCCCAATCCAAGGTTCTGGGTTTTTTTTCTTCAGTGACGACTCCTGCCATTTCCCCACAATACCCAGGTGTTAGTTCCACGGACTGACTTCCGTGTCCGCCTCCACCCCAAAGTTCCTGGCAGTTCCTGGCAGATCCTGGTGCCACCGGTGATAGTCACAGCCCACCCTCACTGTCCAGTGTCAGCTGTAGAGTCAGACTTGATTACATAGACTGTCTATCATATCACTATGGCCAAACGCTGGAGTACAGGAAGTAGAATGAATGTTTCTTATCAATATTCGCAGGAGGAACAAATTACACAAGATGGCCGAGTCATAGCCAGATCCAAAGATGAGAAGAGATATTCAGGTAAGTTCATTCTTCAATTTCACATTAACCAGAAACACAAAGAAGGAATGGAATAACTACCAATAATTGGAAAACTTTCTCTTTGACTTACCGTTTAGTATGTGGAATTATTTGTCCACCAAATTGAATATCCTTTTATTATATAAGTCAGTATGAAAACGAAGTTGACGATGTGACTTTGCCTTATTTGGATAGCAGGTAAACATGAACATTTTCAGCTCAGTAGACCAGTATCCAACATATAAACAGTCCAGAAAAGCAGTGCCTCTCAATATTCTGTACAAAACTATCTGCAACATTTTGAGAAACAATATTGATGTCAATTGTCAATGGGATTTATGCCTGTGGAAGGAGTTAACTCCCTTGACTGGTTACCTGCATCCCATATATCTCTCGGTGACATTTCCTCATAATTCTGTCAATTAAGTTTGCTATAGATGGATTGCGATCCTTTCTTTCTGCATACAAGTGAATGCCTAGGGTGATGTATATTTCTGAATGGCTTGTTAAACATGTTTTTGTCCACTTTGGTGAGTCATGAAGAGGTAAAAAGGTATGAGTGTTGCTTGATTGACATTCAGGTTCCCACAGGGTGTGTGAGAACAAGGTAGATCAGCAGGTAGCGGACATGTGCTTCCAGGCTTGGGGTCTTATGTCGGCTATATGTAACTCAGCAAACATTCAAAACCACGTTTATTTTGTGATCTTCCACACATTAGTGACTTTGTGGGAACATCTTGATAAGATCCGTATTCATCAGTAGAAAATTACCTTTTGAGTACCCTTACCCGAATTAAAATGGTGTGAGAGTAATATAGGTTGTGTGATTTCCGCAACTTTGTTTAGTTCATCAATTGAAGATAGTATTTTTTTTGGTATCTGTTAAGATAAGAAGTTGTGCAGTGTCTGCAATTGTGACAGTGAGTCTACTATTACTATTACTACAAGCCTGGGAGGAGACTATTCCAGCAGGGAAAGTTGAAGTACAGGTCATCTATATGTGCTCAGTATGCCAAAGCACAAGCAAAACACTGTTATAAAGCTGTGAGTTTCCCGACCAAGATATCTGTTCCCAACCACTGCTTAGAGTCACCGTGACAACAGCAGCGCCATCCCTCAAATTAGCATCGTTACCCTCCCCCCGATCCCCCACTCCTCCCCGCCTGGCATTGTGCCGCTGCTCTGTAGTCAGCTGATCATGTTGTATCTAAGAAGAGCAGTTTGTAAAGAGGTATGATATCTCTCACCAACAGAAACATATGATTAGCCCCAATGTTTAGATTCATGCTGTTGATGGCTAAGATACCTGAAGGTGACTTTTAAAAAGGAAATCCTGAAGATTGCCCTCTACGGCTGAGTTTTGAGGAATCGGGATCAAAATGATTAGTTTGCAATAAATGTATTATTTGGTTGGAGACTTGACATTGACAATGCACCTTGAGTGCTATCCATTTATCACGGAGGGATAAACATCATGGCCTGTGATGACATTTTCCTTGAAATCTTGGGTCATCATTTACCTTGCTCATTTGGAGTGTGTGCAGGGAAACCCAAATATTCCTTGCTTGAATATTCAGCTGACTTTTCTCCCACACACAATGACATCAGACGATTATGATTCAGTATGATTCATTGGCATCATCCGTACCTGTTTTACATTACTATAGACATGGAAAACACACTGTACTTATTTTGGCGAGACAGAGTAACCCTTCCCGTCATTTCTGCGCATTACAAAACATACGAGAATTCACAGTTCAACCACTTGGTGGTGATGTAAATACTTATTCAGGGCCAGTGGGTATGGAAGTGTTGCCATGATACAGGATGTATGTAATCATTTACAGGTCAGACTGTACAGCTATATCCTATTTTCCCACCTGAAGGAAGGCTGTTGACTGTTTAGCATTTGCATCTTTGATGACTTTAGGATCGGGAATAGAACTGCTGGGATATTTGTTGGTTGTTTATCTTAATTTCTCCTACAAATCTGATACACAATATTGCATGTAGGTTTGGTAGAAAATAGAACATGATGAAATTATGCAGGCAGAAAAACAAGGGACTAATTACGCAGATGAGATTTTCAGACGTTCTAGATGTTACTATGTTGGCAGCATTGAAGAGAGGTTATTACAGCCAGGATCTCTACAGTACACTTAGTCAAGCTGAAGAACTGAACTAGTGGAGCCATGGCTACCATCATCACTTGATGTCTACCACCATCACTTGACGTCTGCCTGGGGTACCACCATCACTTGATGTCTGCCTGGGGTACCACCATCACTTGATGTCTGCCTGGGGACCACCATCACTTGACGTCTGCCTGGGGTACCACCATCACTTGATGTCTGCCTTGGGTACCACCATGGTTAACGTCTGCCTTGGGTACCACTATCACTTGACGTCTGCCTGGGGTACCACCATCACTTGATGTCTGCCTGGGGCACCACCATCACTTGATATCTGCCTGGGGACCACCATCACTTGACGTCTGCCTGGGGTACCACCATCACTTGATGTCTGCCTGGGGTACAGCCATCACTTGATGTGTGCCTGGGGTACCACCATCACTTGATGTCTGCCTAGGGTACCACGATCACTTGACATCTGCCTGGGGACCACCATCACTTGACGTCTGCCTGGGGTACCACCATCACTTGATGTCTGCCTGGGGTACAGCCATCACTTGATGTGTGCCTGGGGTACCACCATCACTTGATGTCTGCCTGGGGTACCACCATCACTTGATGTCTGCCTGGGGACCACCATCACTTGACGTCTGCCTGGGGTACCACGATCACTTGACGTCTGCCTGGGGTACCGCCATCACTTGATGTCTGCCTGGGGTACCACCATCACTTGATGTCTGCCTGGGTCATCACCATCACTTGATGTCTGCCTGGGGTACCACCATCACTTGATGTCTGCCATGGCTACCACCGTCACTTGACCGGTACCTGACCGTGACTTTACCTAATTCTTTGTGTGTATGCTATTTTAATGCACACTCTGAAAAATGACTCCATCCATGCAAATGTTTTTGCTGCCTATCCGTCTACACCAGAATAAAACAACAGTCTGATGCCTGTTTATCAACCTTCTAGGTAATTGAGATTGTTCTGAATGACCCCCTTAGCTTCTCTTGTCTTGTCCAGACAAGACAATCCCGTTAGTCGCCTCTTACGCCAGGCTTGGGTTGCTGAAGACCAGTTGTAACCCAGATCTTTACGAGATATAACGGTTGTGACATCACTGTGTTCAGTTGCTGTGGCCATGGAGTGCTGAGGTGACCGTAAGCCACCAGCATCCCGGTGTGTGACGATATGACGTATCTATTTTTTCGAGCAATGGTTTTCCTTTGTAGGCTGTAAACGTTTTTTACAAAATGTCATTGTGTGACCTTTAACGCAGATGCAGTTTTCTCCAGTGTGCATAGCATCTTTTGTGCCCCCCTCGTATTTTAGCTTCAGGTTAGATTCCTTCCTTCCCATTATAATGGTGAATATTTCCATTGGCTATATGTAATGTTTGTCCATCAACTGGAGTTAAGCTGTCAGTGCAGTATGAGATGTGGTAGCTGGCAGGTTGAGGTGTCTTATGTAATTGGGATATCATCAATGCTGCAGTAGCATTCTGACCTTTCAGTCTCCTCTACCCACCCTACAGTCTTCCCGCACCACCCTACAGTCTCCTCTACCCACCCTACAGTCTCCTCTACCCACCCTACAGTCTCCTCTACCCACCTACAGTCTCTTCTACCCACCCTACAGTCTCCTCTACCCACCCTACAGTCTCTTCTACCCACCCTACAGTCTCTTCTACCCACCCTACAGTCTCTTCTACCCACCCTACAGTCTCCTCTATCCACCCTACAGTCTCCTCTACCCGCCCTACAGTCTCCCCGAACCACCCTGCAGTCTCCTCTACCCACCCTACAGTCTCCTCTACCCACGCTGCAGTCACCTCTACCCACCCTACAGTCTCCTCTACCCACCCTACAGTCTCCTCTACCCACCTACAGTCTCTTCTACCCACCCTACAGTCTCCTCTACCCACCCTACAGTCTCTTCTACCCACCCTATAGTCTCCTCTACCCACCCTACAGTCTCCTCTACCCGCCCTACAGTCTCCCCACACCACCCTGCAGTCTCCTCTACCCACCCTACAGTCTCCTCTACCCACCTACAGTCTCTTCTACCCACCCTACAGTCTCCTCTACCCACCCTACAGTCTCTTCTACCCACCCTACAGTCTCCTCTTCCCACCCTGCAGTCTCCTCTACCCACCCTACAGTCTCTTCTACCCACCGTACAGTCTCCTCTACCCACCCTACAGTCTCCTCTACCCGCCCTACAGTCTCCCCACACCACCCTGCAGTCTCCTCTACCAACCCTACAGTCTCCTCTACCCACCTACAGTCTCTTCTACCCACCCTACAGTCTCCTCTACCCACCCTACAGTCTCTTCTACCCACCCTACAGTCTCCTCTTCCCACCCTGCAGTCTCCTCTACCCGCCCTACAGTCTCCCCACACCACCCTGCAGTCTCCTCTTCCCACCCTGCAGTCTCCTCTACCCACCCTACAGTCTCCCCCACCCACCCTACAGTCTCCTCTACCCGCCCTACAGTCTCCCCACACCACCCTACAGTCTCCTCTACCCACCCTACAGTCTCCTCTACCCGCCCTACAGTCTCCCCACACCACCCTACAGTCTCCCCCACCCACCCTGCAATCTCCCCTACCCACCCTACAGTCTCCTCTACCCAACCTACAGTCTCCCCCACCCACCCTACAGTCTCCTCTTCCCACCCTACAGTCTCCTCTACCCACCCTACAGTCTCCCCAATCCACCCTACAGTCTCCCCCACCCACCCTACAGTCTCCCCCACCAACCCTACAGTCTCCTCTTCCCACCCTACAGTCTCCCCTACCCACCCTACAGTCTCCCCTACCCACCCTACAGTCTCCCCTACCCACCCTACAGTCTCCTCTACCC